TGCGAGCCCCCCCAGAACAGCTTGAATCCATCTTTCAATATGCGCTTGAGGTCCTCGTTGGGTACAACGCCGTCCTTCCCAGGAACGCCTAATCCAGGCAGCCAACAGCCTGCAGCCGATTGAGATCGACCTACGAGCATCGAGTGATTTCCAGCGAAGTCGTCAACTGGCACATTAGTCTTCAACGCACTGCTGTACAAAAAACAGTGCGTGCTGATAAGAAGAAATAATGCCAGGGCCATGTGTCAGACGCTGCTGAATGTTCAATGGTACAGAAAACTGCCTCCCAAGTGTACGATAATCATGTGCAGCGCCGAGACGGCCTGAGCTCAAATTGGCGTCTCGAGCCAAAATGGCAGAGGCCAATCAGGAGACCCTCTTGGGGCGTCTTTTGCCTCCTCTTGGGCCGCCATGGCGATCATGTGTGCCCCTTTGGGCCCTTGTAGGCGCCTTGAAAATCGAAAAGGCGAATATGCCCAAATCATACAAACGTATGGAACATGACTGGGTCGTGCGTCTTGGGAGTCCTTTGAGGGGGCCCGTCTTCGGGCCGTCATGGAGTGCTCATCGGGCCGTCTTGGGGCCATCCTGGGCCGTCGTGGCCTCTGGGCCAGTGCATTTTCTGTCGTACAATGGAAACCCATGCCAAGGAACACCCTGCTTGCCTCCCGGGTGCCCTTGGTTTCTTGGGTTTCGATGGCCTTGTCATGGAAAGCGTGACGTTCCCACACCAAAAATCGATGGACGTCCTGGGGTATCAGGGTTGGATTTCTTGTGGAAGGCTTCTTGTGGTCGAGCTCCTACTTTGAAAATGCTTACCGCATGTTTTACAAATGTGATCTGGGATGCTCCGCGAAAAAAAAAACGACCCCCGTGGCCTGCTCCTGAATCGCATATCTGGCCGTGGGCACCAGTACTGTCACATCCCTGGGCCTCTCCCAGGGTCCGGCGCCGATCCGAAAAATCCACGTGGACCTCAGCCATTGAATGCTCGTGCCGATGTTTCTCCCTAGAGGCTCTGGGACGAGCAGCGGTATGGGCATGTGTTCCTCCTCTGGCACCATCCTGAGAAGGGTCAGCCGGGGCGGCCTGGCTCGGGGTGGGAGGCATTCATCTGGGCGATGTCGGACACCCTGAACCCAGAACCGATTTCATCCCTAAGGCGCGCATCTTGTACTTCCGCCGCCTTCTGCCGCTCTTCCGCCGCCTTCCGCCTGCTTCCGCAAGCGAAGGCGGCCTCGTTTTACTTCCGCCGCCCTTCCGCCGCCTTCCGCCGAGAAAAAGATGACAACTCCTGCGATCCGCGAAGGCGAGAGGCCCTTTCTGGAACGCCCCATCTGGAATCGGCGATACATCGCCGAAGGCCGGCGACGGGCCCTCGACAGCAAGACAGGACGCTTCTCTGGGCGGGATGTATAGAGACCGTCTCGGGGGCCCGTTTGGCCACCCTGGGGCCCCATTTGGGCCGTCCTGGGCTCCATCTGGGGGGGGAAGAAGCGGAGGAGGAGGGGGAGGAGGGGGAGGAGGAGGAGGAGGAGGAGGAGGAGGAGGAGGAGGAGGAGGAGGAGGAGGAGGAGCCATCTGGAACGCCCCATCTGAAATCGGCGATACATTGCCGATAGACCGGCGACGGGCCCTCGACAGCAAGGCGGGACGCTCCTGGGCGGGGTGGGGCGCCCAAGACCCGACTGGCGATGACTGGGCGATTCGGGGTCGGTGCTTCCCCCCTCTGGTCCAGTCCTACCCTGACCCATACATCCCATTCCTCCTCCTCCTCCTCCTCCTCTCCTCCTCCCTCCTTCCTCCTCCTCCTCCTCCTCCTCCTCCTCATCCTCCTCCTCCTCCTCCTCCTCCTCCAGGCGTTGTGGTTCGAGGGGAGGCAAAGGCGTGGTCCGCCCCCCCCCCCCCCAGGAACGCCACGACCCCAGCCGCCAGGTGCCCGTTTCTCTCGGGCTCCCATGCGTTCCTATGGAGGGCGCCTGCGCCGCACCGTCTCGCGAGGCGGGCGCGACCTCGCCTTCCCGCTCAACCCGCAGGCAACGGAGAGCGGCGGATGCGGCACAATCCGCCGCGCGCAGCGTGCGGCCTGCGTGCTTTCCGCGTCGCTCGGGCCGTTGTCGCGGGCGCGGGCGCGGGCGGAGGTGCCGCACGCGGTGCGCAGGGTGGCCCGCCTGCTGGCGGCGGCGGGCGCGCTGATGGCCGGCAGGGTTCTCCTCGGCTGCTTGGGCGAGGCGGCCGCTGCTCGCACGCCTCTCCGTAGCCAAGCTGCTCGATGCGCCCCTCGGGCGGGTGCTGTTGGTGCGTGTGGTCTTCGTGCTGGTGCCGATGCTGGCCCTGATGTTGGTGAGCCTCCCCTCGCACTTCGCGGCGGCGCTGGTGCAGTGCGTCGAGGGCTTCGCGGTCCTCGTCGGGGCGCTGTCGAGGCCCTTCCTCGCCGAGTTCCTGGGCCTCGAGGGCTTCGACTTCGAATTTTCCACCTTTTCGTTCCGCACGGAAGTGGGCCCCGTCAGCGACTTGGGCGTTTAAGGTTGGGACCACGGGGGCATTGGGTGCCGTCGCTCCTAGCACACGTTGTGCGACCCGTTCGCTATCAGGACCTGGCCCGCTCTACGGGGGTCCTGCTGTACCTGGCACGAGCTCTGGCCCGCTTCTCGGGGTGCTCGGCTCGCACGAGGACCTGTCCTGCTCCGCGGGGGTCCTGCAGCGCCTGGCACGCGGCCTGGCCCGCACCTCGGGGAGCTCGTGCGGGGGGGCCTGGCCCGCTCTTCGGGTGCCCTGCGGCACCTGGCGCGAGCCCTGGCCCGCTTCTCGGGGAGCTCGTGCGGGGGTCTGGCCCGCTCCGCGCGGGTCCTGCTGCACACGGCGCGCGCCCTGGCCCGCGCGGGGGAGCTCGCGCGAGGGCCCGGCCCGCGAGGCCACGCGGAGGCTCTCCCGGACCTCCTTAGAGGCTTCGTGCGGCCGGCGGCCCGCGCCAGCCGTCCGAGGGAGCCGGTCGTCGGGGCGCGCGGGCGCGAAGGGTGAGGGCCTGCGCCCTCCTCTCCCTCCTCTCCCTGCCTGCCTGGCTGGCCTCGCCTCCCTCCCTGCGCCTCCTCGCGAGGAGGAGGAGGAGGAGGAGGAGGAGGAGGAGGAGGAGGAGGAGGAGGAGGAGGAGGAGGAGGAGGAGGAGGAGGAGGAGGAGGAGGAGGAGGCGCGAGGAGGGCCTCCTGCCTGCGCCCTCCTCGCGCCTCCGCCCTCCTCGCCCTGCCTGCCTGGCTCTGTGCTGCACGCCGTTGCCGCTGCCACCCCGCTGCTGCCCCTGGGCACCAGGGGTGCCGAGGCGCACCTCGCGCCCCTTCCTGGGCCATCCGAAGCGCTCCAGCAGCGCCTCTGCCCTCGGCGATGTCTGGGAGGCGGCGTGCTGCTGCGATATCGTTTGCGCGCTGCGCGAGCGAGGAGTTCGGTGCAGGCTACACTGCCCAGAGTCGGACGGCGGCGGCTCCGACCTTGACCCGCCCCCTCCTCGGCCTGCCCTCCGCGGGACTGAGTCCAATCTCTTCTTTCGCGCGTGGTGCTCGAATGTGCTCGTCTCGCCTGGCCGCCCGCTCGATGCAGGCCTTGCGCGCCGCCTGGCTCTCTCAGGTAGCCTCGGCGGGCTATTTTTCTATACCGTCGTGCTGCGCGCGCCCGTCCTTTTCCCGCTCTTTGCCTGTCTCAGCCGCTGCTCTGCGCACTCGTCTTCGGTCTGGTCGTGCCTCCTCCTCCTCCTCCTCCTCCTCCTCCTCCTCCTCCTCCTCCTCCCTCCTCCCTCCTCCTCCTCCTCCTCCTCTCCTCCTCCTCCTCCTCCTCCTCCTCCTCCTCCTCCTCCTCCTCCTCCCTCCGCTCCTCCTCCTCCCTCCCTCCTCCTTCTCCATCCTCTCCTCCTCCCTCCTCCTCCTCCTCCTCCTCCTCCTCCTCCTCTCCTCTCCTCCTCCTCCTCCTTCCTCCTCCTCCTTCCTCCTTTCCTCCTCCTCCTTCTCTCCTCCTCCTCCTCCTCCTCCTCCTCCCCTCTCCTCCTCCTCCTCCCTCCTCCTCTCCTCCCTCCTCCTCCTCCTCCTCCTCTCTCTCCTCCTCCTCTCCCTCCTCCTCCTCCTCTCCTCCTCCTCCTCCTCCTCCTCCTCCTCCTCCTCCTCCTCCTCTCTCCTCCTCCTCCTCCTCCTCCTCCTCCTCCTCCTCCTCCTCCTCCTCCTCCTCCTCCTCCTCCTCCTCCTCCTCCTCCTCCTCCTCCTCCTCCTCCTCCTCCTCCTCCTCCTCCTCCTCCTCCTCCTCCTCCTCCTCCTCCTCCTCCTCCTCCTCCTCCTCCTCATCCTCCTCCTCCTCCTCCTCCTCCTCCTCCTCCTCTCCTCCTCCTCCTACTCCTCCTCCTCCTCCTCCTCCTCCTCTCCTCCTCCTCCTCCTCCCTCCTCCCCTCCTCCTCCCCTCCTTCCTCCTCTCCTCCTCCTCCTCCTCCTCCTCCTCCTCCTCCTCCTCCTCCTCCTCCACCTCCTCCTCCTCCTTCTCCTTTTCCTTCTCCTCCTCCTCCTCCTGGATGACCTCTTCCGTGCACGGCCCCAGAAGGGTCCCGATCCCTTCGCCGAGGCCCGCCTATCGCCCCCGATCCCTGCCCCGTGGCCCCGTGGCCCTACAGCGGGCCCCGGCGGCCCAGCGCGAGGAGCAGCGCCCAGCGCATCTCCGGAGGCCCGGGAGCGCGGCCCGCGCTCTCCGTGGCTGTGCCGGACCGCCTTCCTCGTCCCGCCCTCCTCCTCGTGGGCCCTCCCCATGGAGGTCCTCCTGGAGGCCTCCTGGGCCGCCTCGGGCGATCTCGAGGCCATCCTGGGGGCACCTCGGCCCGTCCGGAAGACAGCCTCGGGCCCATCTGGGGCTCTCTTGGGGCCACCGTGGCCGTCTTGGAGAACGCTTTGGAGCCGCCTTGGAGGCCATCTTACTCCTCGTTGGCCGCGGCGACGAATGGGTGCCTGGGGGCCGATGCTTCCCGAGCCCCGAGCGTAGCGGGCCCACAGCAGCGCCGCCGCGTCCCGCGCGGCGTCCCGGGGGCCGATCACGCGCAGGGGCACCACCTGCGGCTCGGCACGCCCGAAATGGGCACGATGTTTCACGGAAGGGATGGGACGCAGAAGGACATATTTGCACACGTCGGTCGGAAGAAATAGGTCAAAACATGAACTAGGAAGGCGGATAAACTTGGTTGGGTCCAGGCCCCCCCAGGGAAGAAGAAAACACAGCAAAAGCGTGAAGGCGTTTGAAGTAACTTGGGATCTGGGCATCCAAGAATATCTACTTTCAGCGACCGGCGTGCAATGTGTACCTCTGACCGGGGCGCACGTCCGACCCGAACATCACTATCGCACACGTACTGACATGCGCACAGCTCCCCGAGCGGTATGCCCAGAGAGCGTTCGCCACGGAGCTCGTACTAGAAGGTTCCCGAGCGTGCGTGTCGCACTTGCGCGGCCGACGCGTGCCGAGCATGAATACGTGTCGGGGTGGTGCCGAACACATTCCCCCGACAACCCCCGGGACAACCCGGACAACCCGTCCAAGATGGAGGCTGTAAGCGCTCCAGCATGGCGCTGTGCCCGGCTCGGGCGAGAGCACCGTTCTCATTCATGGATGTGGCTGGCGATCCAGCACCATATCCAATTAGGGTACTCCACATTTCGTAATGAAAGGAAGGGGCCACAATTTTCCCAGACGCGTGATTGCAGACCCGTCCAGACCAGCCATAAAGGGCGGTTCTTTGCCCATACCCCCTGGACTCCTCAAAGACAGCTCAAATCAGACCCCCCAAATCAGACCACTTTTTTTTGTAAAATTCGGAGTACGGGAGCAGCGCGTACGATTCCCAACAGCAGACGTTGTCCAAAACCGACGGCGGCTGCTGGTGAGCCGGCGCCCTTCTGCCTCAGATGGACAACGCCCGCGGCAGCACCGACAGCGAGTCTAGAAGAACAACAGCCTTCGTATACATATACATATATATATATATGTATGTATATATGTATATGTATATATTATATTATAGTATATTATTTTATTTTATATTATATTATATTTTCTATTATATCTTATTATATTATATTATATTGTATTATATTATACTATGTTATACTATATTATATTATATAATGAAATATTACATTATATTATATTGTAGTATATTATATTATAGTATACTATACTATACTAAAATCTATTATATTATATTATATTATATAATATTATATTATATTATATGAAATTATGTTATGTTATATTATATTATATTATATTATATTATATTACATTATATTATATTATATTATATTATATTATATTATATTATATTATATTATGTTATATTATATTGTATTATAGTATGTTAAACTATAATATACTATACTATATAACATTATATCATATTATAGTAAAGTATATTATATTGTACTATATATATATACATATATATATGTATGTATATATATATAGATTTGGAGGTCCGCGCGGGTTTCTTGGATCGGCGCTAGGCCCCCCTTCGCTGGCGCGCGGAGCGCGGCAGGGGCGGCGCCGGAAACGCCGCCAGGAGGGGCCAGGCGCCGATCCAAAAGAACTGCGCGGAGTTGATTTGTTTTCTTCTTCGCTCTTCGTCCCCACTGTTTTCCGTTGGTCCACACACAAGCGTGAGTGATTTATCACTGTTCCCTATCAATATTTTTTTTTATTTTTTCAAAAAAAAAATCCCCCGGGCGAGCGGCAGCCAACCAGGACCAATGAGAACCCCCCCACCACATATCCATGGTAAACCTGATATTGCCACGAACCCCGACCTTGGAGGACAAACGGGGGCTCCTGCGATGTGGGCTCAGCACGTGACCATGCGAGCCACTGTGGGGGGACGCGTGGCTTGCGAGCAAGTGAACTGCAAAGGAAAGCATACATGCGGGCCACTAGTTTTGATAGGTCCGTGCGTTGCAGGTGAGATGCCAAGAAGGCACCTGACGTTGGTTCCGGTGTTGTACGTTTGAGGTGGTGACGCTTTGTCGGGGTGTCTCCAGACATCCTGGGGTCCTCTGGAGCAGTGTTGGGGCCCTTTTGAAAATATCTGGGGGCCTCCTGGTCGTGGGATGAACGCTGGTTCCCGTGTTGTCCGTTTGGCGGCGTCTCCAACCATCTTGGGGCCCTCTTGGGTAGTCTTGGGGCCCTGTTGGGGACGGCTGGGGGCTTCCTGGAGGCCTGTTCCAGGCTCGCTGGGGCCTCTTAAAAACTTCTCGGGGGTCTCCTGGGGGCCGGTTGGTGCCTCCTAGTTCTCTTTTGGGCCGGAGAACCCAAAATGAAGGTCCCTGCCGCCTCTCTGAAGTTTTTTAAGCATTCCTGAAGTTTTCGGACGCCGTCTTGGAGGCCTCCTGGGCCGTCTCGAGAGCGTGTTGGACTGGTCTGGGCGCTCTCGTCTTGGGGCGGTCTTTGGGACCTCTTGCGCCGTTCCGGAGCGTCGGGGAGCCGAGGACGCCGAAACCCGAAAGACATTTAGAAAACCAGCGAAAACCAATCAATTTTGACACGTGGGGCTCTCCGGGAGGGCCTCTCGGAGGCCTCCCGAAGCGTCCTAGGAACGCCGAGGGCCGTCTGGACGCGATGTTGGGGGCCTCTTGGGGGCCTTGCGGGGCCTCCGGGGGGGCCTTGTGTGCGGTGAGCTTGAGATGTAGGTTCCTGCCCTTCTTCTGGAAGCTTTCTGGGGGCGTTCCTGGAGCCTTCGGAGGCCGTCTTGGAGGCGTTTTTGGGCCGTCTTGAGAGCGTGTTGGACTGTCTGAGCGCTCTCTTGGAGGCCTTTTAGGCCGTCTTGAGGCGGTCTTTGGGTCCGCTTGGGCTGTTTTGGAGCGTCGGCAAGCCGAAAACGTGGAAATCCGAGACACTTTCAAAAACCCAGCGAAAACCAACGAATTTTGACACTTGGGGCTCTCTTGGAGGGCCTCCAGGAAGCCTCCCGAAGCGTCCTGGGAGTTCCCTGGGCCGTCTGGACGCGATGTTTGGGGCCTCCTGGGGGCCGTGTGGGGCCTCCAGGGTTTTTTTTTGGGCGGTGAGCTGGAAATGCCGGTTGCTGCCTCTACGATGGAGATTTTTGTTGGACCGTTCCTGGAGCCTTCGGAGGCCGTCGTGGAGGCCTATTGGGCCGTCATGAGGGCGTCTTGGACTGTCTGGGCGCCTTCTTGGGGGCCTCTGAGGCCATCTTTGGACGGTTTTGGGCCTTCTTGGGCTGTCTTGGTGCGTCGGCAAGCCGAAGACGCGAAAACCCGAAAAACCTGCAAAAACCAAAAGAAAACCAATACGTAGCACCCCGCAATTGCGGATAAGAGTGAGGGGGCGGGCGCGGGCGACGCGGGCGTCGTCGAGCCGGCGGACCTCGTGGCCCCTACCTTCCCTGTCGATGGCGCTCTCCTCCTCCTCCTCCTCCTCCTCCTCCTCCTCCTCCTCCTCCTCCTCCTCCTCCTCCTCCTCCTCCTCCTCTTCCTCGTCCTCGTCCTCATCGTCATCGTCATCCTCCTCCTCCACCTCGTCCTCCTCCTCCTCTTCTTCCTCGTCCTCCCTCTCCCCCCTCGTCCTTTCATCATCGTCCTCCCATTGTCGTCCTCCCCCTCATCGGCCTCCATCATCGTCCTCCCATGTCGCCCATCATCCACCTCCCCCTCCCTCCCCCTCCTCGTCCCACCTCCTCCTCCTCCTCCTCCTCCTCCTCCTCCCCCTCCTCCCCCTCTTCGTCCTCCTGTTCCTCCTCCTTTTCTTTCTCCACGTTCTCCTTACATCCTCTCTTCTTCCGCGTCCTCCTCGTCCCCTGTTTTTTCCTCCTGCCTCCCCCTCCTTTCCCGAGATAACTGCAACGCAATCTTTTTTTCCACTTTATGCTCCCCGACTTCTCTGATCAAGGCAACTCGCCAGGGCCAAGTTGCTGGACGGGCTGGCGAGGATGCGCGGAACTTGAATAGGTCCTTGCGGGCTCAGACGGCATGCAAAAATCCGCCGCCGCGCTTGTGCGGCATTGGTGTGTTCAGTGAACGTGGTTTGGGTCGCGGGTGGGTCGCTGGCTCTCCACCTCCACCTGGAAGGGATGCACAAGCAGCCCGCCGCAGGCGCCCAAAAAATTAGTTTGTACACTGAACGCGGTTCGGGTCGCGGGCGGGCCGCGGGTTCTCCACCGGGAAGGGATGCAAAAGATGCCCGCCGCAGGCGCAGAAAAATGTGGTTTGTACCCTGAACGTGGTCGCGGGTGGGCCGCGGGCTCTCCACCTGAAACGAATGCAACAGATGCCCGCCACAGGCGCCGAAAAATGTGGTTTGTACCCTGAACGTGGTTTGGTTCGCGGGTTGGTCGCGAGTTGGTCACAGGGTGGGTCGCGGGCTCTCCACCTGGAAGGAATGCAACATATCCCGCCGCAGGCGCCGAAAATTGTGGTTTGTACCTTGAACGTGGTTTGGGTCGACGGTGGGTCGCGGGTGGGTCGCGGGGTGGGTCGCGGGTGGGTCGCGGGTGGGTCGCGGGTGGGTCGCGAGTGGGTCGCGGGTGGGTCGCGGGCTGGGCCGCGGGCGGGTCGCGGGGTGGGTCGCGGGGTGGGTCGCGGGGTGGGTCGCAGGGTGGGTCGCGGGGTGGGTCGCGGGTGGGTCGCGGGTGAGTCGCGGGTGGGTCGCGGGGTGGGTCGCGGGTTGGGTCGCGGGTTGGGTCGCGGGGCGGGTTGCGGGTGGGACGACGACAACAAACAACAACAAACAACAACGAGAATCCGCACCGCGGAATTCCACTTCAGCCACGCACCCAGGGACAGTGAATGACCGTTCGACCCCCTCACTCTGACATTTTGACACTGGGGGCTCTCTGGGAGGGCCTCTCGGAAGCCTCCCTAAACGTGCTGGAAACTCCCTGGGCCATCATGACGCGATCGTGGACGGCCGGGATCGACCTGATGGCGACTCGTGGCCCTCTCGGAACATCTTGCCGACCATCCTGGGGCCGCCCGTGCCGCACGGAAGCGTGTCTGCCGAAATGGGGCCGTCTTCCGCCGTCTTCCGCCGGCGTCCCCCCCGTGGCCGGGAAGG